CAGCAGGCAAATGGTAGAATAGAATAGAATAGAGTTGAATTGAATTGAATTTCAGTTGGAAGGGACCTACAACAGTCATCTAGTCCAACTGCCTGACCAATTCAGGGCTGACCAAAAGTTAAAGCATGTTATTAAGGGCATTGTCCAAATGCCTCTTAAACACTGACAGACTTGGGGCATCAACCACCTCTCGAAGAAGCCTGTTCCAGTGTTTGACCACTCTCTCTGTAAAGCAATGTTTCCTAATGTCCAGTCTAAACCTCCTCTGGCACAGCTTTACACCATTCCCACGCGTCTGATCACTGGACCCCAGGGAGAAGAGATCAGCACCCCTCTCTCCACTTCCCCTCCTCAGGAAGCTGTAGAGAGCAATGAGGACTCCCCTCAGTCTCCTTTATTTCAAACTAGGCAAGCCCGAAGTCCTTAGCCACCCCTCACAGGACATTCCTTCCAGTCCTTTCACCAGCAGTTCAGCCTGTACAGCCTGTCAGGGATACAGGTCTGGACCTTTAAGAGACAAACATGTTACCTGGTATTTCCTACTGAGGAGATATACATTATAAATATGGTAATAATATCAGAGAGTAAGAAATATGCTGAAAGGTTTTGCAGCTATGCAAAATCATGAGCATACCTAGGGAAAAATATCTTCAAGATTTTCCTTATAGGCATACCGTATTTCATAGCCCTCCACGTGAAAAGTAAGTTAAAAATCTCTAAACGGGGCTGTTACAAAATGTTCTTTTAACACAGTTAAGCGTCACTTTATTTCCATTTTATCTTGATTGCTGCCTGCTGCAAGAGACAGCTAGCTATCTGATCATGCTGCATACTTGACTGGCAAAAAAAATTTAAAATGTTGTAATAGATGCATTTTTGATAACTAAATTTATAGTTTTATTGACTAGCTGAGTACTTAGTAATGTGTATAGCTCTTTATTCATATTTCCCAGGTAAAGTTGCCCAAATGAAACTGAAGTAAAACCACAGATGATGTTTTTTCCTATTGAAAAATGAAAATAAAAGGACAAACTGCACTACTGTTCATTGTATGTTCTGCCTAAAAATAGCTAAAATGATACATATTCAGAAGCATGTTTTTGCTTAAAAGATATATAGAACCAATTTTAAAATCTTCTAAGTTCCTGAATTATCTCAGTTTTATTAACTGAAACTTGCTTCCAAAATCCCAACTTCATTCTTAGTTGTTCCACAAAGGAAAAGAAGAAAAGTGCATTCACTAAAGGATACCGGAAGAGTATTTATGCAGCTGTGACTGAGGTATTGTGTAAACCACATACCATAGAATAGTGTGAGGAACCACTAGGATGTGCTGTCGGCCTAAAATTGAAGCCCTGGTATTTAAGAGACTGAAGTTTCAAAATTCTCAAGTGTGATGTAGACATAAAACCCTAGTATTCTCATTTCAAGATTTCAGAAAAGAAATAGAAAATATAGGTTTTTGTAAGGGAAGGAGTGGGGTATTTGAATGAAAGGAAAATTTTCCTATCATGCAAATGTCCTTAGCAGGTGTACTTGAGAGTTTACTAAAGGAGTGTCACAGCCATGACCATATTCAATTTATTGAATATCTAACATTAGAACTTTTATTGCTGGAAATTATGCATATTGTTGCAAGGTGTGGTCTCTCTGGTAGGACCTCATGTGCATATTGTATGTGCAATATGTGTAACAACTTTACACAAAAAAATAATTGTGTTCTGTAACAAACTACTTCTGCTGTTGGTCTTCTGTTGCTTGTTGTAAATGTAAACATATATCAAATAGTGTTCAAGTAAGATTTGTGGATTTAAAAAGATATACTGAATTATTGGTTGTAAAACCATGTTTATCAAGATGTAGAGTTCTTAAAATTGTTACGATGGCAATATTTGAAGCATGGTTGTTAAAGTTTGCAATTTGTCATTTCGGCAATACTGACATGCTTTATCAGTTTTGGTACTTTAGCCTAGAAATTGTTTCATATGTTAGGTTTTTCCAGCAGTTACCTTACCACTTTATAGTGGTTAACGTACTCTTAATTTGTGTATTTAGAAAGTAGATTGATGAACCATGCAAGAGAGCTTATGGAAGGATCTGGTTTAACTGTTCAAGCCAATAATATGATGTGAAGGGGTTGGTAGCTGGCAATCCTTTCAAGCCAGCAACAATCCTTGCAGGCATCCAGAATTACAGAATTATTTCAGCAAGGAAGGGAGAAAGCATCCTGCTTTTGGGTTTTTGGTTTTTTCTTATAGATTTCACATCTTAAAAAGCATAGCAGGAGCATAAAATGATAAAGATTCCTAAAATAATTCAATGTTTGTGTAGTATAGACAATGCTATTAATGGTAGTGATTAAGTGATCTTATAAGCCTTTTCTTTAATTTGAGTGATTGTCTAACTGATGCATCAAGCTTGCATAATATGAAATGTAGTATTTCCAATTATTCCTTCTAACACCAGTCAAAAACTGAGGCTTACTAAAGTTTTGATCCTGCTTTCTCAGTTATTTACCTATCAGTGTTGTTAATAGTCTATCAGAATTGAAAGGTAGCACTGCAAATTTTTTTTGTATTCTTTGGAAAAAAAACCCACAACATAAACCACTTTAAAAGAAAAAGTCC